TTCCTCTCCCTACGACGGGCAACCTTCCGGGGCCGCAAAGCGCAGCCCTATGCGGCCTCTTACACGAGTATCTTTCCTTCCATGCACCACCAACTTCGCCGACGGTAGACGAAGTCGTGGTGGGGGACATGCTTGGCTATGTTGCCAAGGTGGCCCGCGAGTTTGTCTCGCAACGGTACGAAGAAAACAACGCACCGTTGCTCTACGTTCGCATTCAGACTGGGCAAGCGGCCTGCAACACTTTGCTAGATTGCGGCGCAACTCGCAACTTCATCAGCCAGTCCTTCATGACTCGGGCTGGCCTTGGCGCACAAGTACGGAGGAAGTCACATCCGACGACGGTCGCTCTTGCCGACGGTAAGACGAAACAACTTTTAGACCGTTACATCTCGGCTGTCCCGGTGTACTTTGCACCGCACGCATGTGAACCCGTCACTTTTGACGTGTTGGACACCGACTTCGATGTCATTTTGTGGATGCCTTGGCTTTCTGGCGCCGAGGTCCCGTGTACTATTCCTCCTCCTCGCTCTTCCATTAGGTGCCAAGTCGTGAGTGCCAAATCTTTTCGAGACACATGCCGTTCCGAGCATGTCGAAGAGATTGGCATCGCTTTGCTTCGAACAGTCCCGACGACCGATTCATCGTCCACAGAAGTGTCTTCCGAGCCCCTTGTGACCCGGTTGTTAGACGAGTTCTCGGATGTTTTTGAAACACCCTCCGGTATAGTGCCGGACCGGCCAATCTCTCACGAGATCATACTTGAGGCCGGCGCCGTGCCACCGAAAGGATGCATTTATCGCATGTCCGAGGAGGAGCTCACGGTTCTCCGTGCGCAACTCGACGATCTACTCGACAAGGGTTGGATCCGCCCTAGCAGCTCACCTTACGGTGCGCCCGTTCTCTTCGTTCGGAAGAAGAACAAGGACCTTCGACTTTGCATTGAYYACCGACGCCTCAACRCGCAAACCATCAAGAACGCGGGGCCTCTACCTCGCATTGATGATTTGCTTGAGCGGTTGGGCGGCGCGAAGTACTTTTCGAAGTTGGACCTCAAGTCGGGCTACCATCAGATTTCCATCCGCCCGCAAGATCGGTACAAAACCGCGTTCAAGTCGCGATATGGGCATTTTGAGTGGGTAGTTATGCCTTTTGGCCTCACTAATGCCCCGGCCACCTTTCAGGCGGCCATGACCACCGAGTTTCGCGCTATGTTGGATCGCTTCGTTTTGGTCTACTTAGACGACATCCTCGTCTATAGCCGAACTCTAGAGGAGCATCTCGAGCACCTTCGCCGTGTTCTAGAAACTCTTCGGTCAGCCCGGTACAAAGCTAACCGCGACAAATGCGAGTTTGTCCGGCAAGAGCTTGAATACTTGGG